TTGCACCATAACCAGTCCATTGTGCCATAACCAGTCCATTGTACACCTACCTGCCACAGCCAGCGACGGTGTATGGACGCCGCCATCGCTTTCGCCTCGTACTCGCTAGACACGCTCGGGCTCGCGCTGCTCGGGTGAATCGCCGCCAGGAGGTCCTTGCGGATGGGCTGTCCTTCCAGCGTCAGTCGCACGGCGCGACGCAGAGCGTGGAACCGATCGTGGTGTCCCCACATCGCCAGCGAGGCCGCGTGAAGCAGGCAGTTCCCGTCGCCCGTCGTCTGCAGCGGTATCAGCAGGCAAGCACGCACGGCGTGGCGGCTCAGCCAGTTCAGGCGGTCTGAGTCACACAAGCCAGAAACACAAACAATCAATCAATCAAACAAACAATAGACCGAGTTAAATCTTGGAAAGACTACTCGGATGGCGAGCCAAGGAAGAATTTGTTTTAAAGGAAAGAAAAAGGACCAAGGAACTACAAATCACGCTATACTGTCCACTGATTAGCAGTCAGTTGTAGAACGCAGCGGCGGATCTAGCGATCTCTACAGGAGGGTTCCAGTATAGTCAAAACCGAATGGCTGATACATGTACATGGACATGCATAGGTATGGTTGCCAGTGGTACATTTACGAAAATGAGGGGGTTCCGCGGAACCCCTGGAACCGCTCCTGGATCCGCCCCTGGAGCGTCAATACCGTCGGTCAGTGTCGTACAATGTTATCGAATGAGCTGATTGTCCATGCAAGAACTGGTGGTGTTAGTGGACAGTATAGCGTAACTTGTAGTTCCTTGGTCCTTTTTCTTTCCTGAAATATTGTACTCATTCATTATTGATGCTAAGGCACATTATGCATTCCTACGCCAAAGAAACACATTTGTTTCAAAAGAGACATAGCCATGTAAAAAAATACTTAAACCCTCGATTCGAGCAGGGACTCGTTAGACCTAGTTTTTTTTTTTTTTTTTTACAACTAGATTAATTTTCCATGATAAATAAATACAGTATACTAGTAATCAATCAGTAAAATCCAAAGAAACCGCTAGAAGCAGTATGCGTAGTAGTCTACGGCCAAGATACCAGAAACCGTATCAAACTCAGCACGGGGTTCGAGGTACTAAAACGATTACCAAATTAAGTCAAGGATTGACCATTACATGCTGCATTCTGCCACTGCTAACGTGATCGAAGGGCAGCCGTTGATTCTTGACGCTTTGTGCCGATGACCTCTCAGGGCTGTGACTGCGGCATTGACCAGTGCAAAAGACAGTTGAGTGCGGATGTATGCCATGACGATAGAGAAAGGCTCGGACCTCTTATCGGCCAACATGGATGCAATCCGAGCGTAGAGGTTGTCAGCTGCCTTGCCATGACCACCTGTAGTGCTGAGCACTACCGGGATGAATGATCCATGCTCTACCTCAACGACTCTTCTCTCATAACTTCTTCTCTTTTCCTTTTCGTGCTTGCGGTACACTGCCGGGATAGATGACTTCTGGTTTGAGGGGGCAAATGGGTTGAAAACCCGGACATCAAGGAATGTCCTCTCAAACCGTCCACCATACAATCCACTGACTGCGATATCAAGGCGCGCGTTGTCGTCGGTGATGGTAGATCTCAAGGGGAAGTGTTCCCCCGAGAGAGGCTGGAGATGGGGTTCGACGGCTACATCATGGGCAACTTCCCGGAGAAGGTGGGCCGTAATGTCCCGAATCTCGTTGTGGCGGAGAGAGGGATAGCCGCCCAGCGAGCAGGACAGGGCATGGGTGGTCGTGAACGACTTTCCACATGCACACGTTGTCGGGAGATGATCCGGCGTCCACTCCATCCGCAGGAACGCCACCACCCTCAAGGATCTAGGCGCAGATGCAGCTCCTAAAGCGGAGGGAGACGAGTTCCGGTGGATCAGACCCGCCGCCAAAGACCGAAAATCCCATTCTCCCCTCATCAATATTCTGTTGTGCATTTCTCGAAATCTTGTTCAGATTTGCCTCCCTCACCCTGATTGGAGTCAAGTTTTACAATTTAATTCTCCCTACCCGATCTCCCTTTGGTGCGTCCATCGAGCTATGAAGCCAAGACCACTGGTTGGCTGAGTTTAATGGGCCCCACCACTACCACCACACTCCATTATTCACTTCAGTATCTGGTAATACGTGGATTTTGTAGGGAAAAAAAGGAAAAAGTGCCCAATCCCAGCTGGGTATCCTACGTCAAGCTCATAGAAACAAGAGATATATAATAGCTACTACCCGAACGCTCAGGCCAGTGCCCGGTATGGGCCAACACTGGCTGCCTTCGGATCCGTGGCTCCAAGAATCGCTGTAATTTCACAAATTTTCTATGTACTTTTATCCGGGGTACTTTCGGTGCATCTGTTTCATACATATTTCAATAAACCGCTACCACACATAATCCAATAGGAGACAGTTACTGCTTCTCTGTCAGGAGCATAGCATCACCGTTCGAGGTGGTCCAGCCAGAGGGGGTCGAGGGGGGGGGGTCCCCCCGGAAGTTTTTTGAAATTAGGGTGCAACATTCTGCATTCTAGGCCTTTGAAAAAACATGGTCGGGCGAAAAAGTGGTCCGGCCGCACCAACTGCTATACACCCCTGTCTGTACCTAAAATATGTGTTCACCTAATAAATAATAATAATAATACCACAGCACGCGTACAAAGGCCAAAGAACAATGTATGAGAATACACTGAAATTAATCCAAGTCCGCTTCTGTTCACCTAACCTGGCCTTTTGCCCTCATACCGAAATATTGAGCACCTGAAATTACTGAAATTAGAGAAATCTGGATTTAAGTCACTGCACTGGACGATGGTGCCGCTAGACCACAGCCTGGAGATCACGGCAGTGAGGGGATCAGCAAGTAGTTGTGCTGCCCACGCATCCGTCCACCCAAAACGCCTGATACCGGTAGATTTTTACTCTGACCTCTTGCGCAGGCAATCGCGACCCGATTCACAGTCATACTGCCTGGCACACCACGTTCACACACGCATCCGGGAACTGATTCATCAGAGGTGAACTACCGTGGTAGATTAAAATCTCACATACAATCATGACTGTCTACAAGTATGCCAGCCAGCTAGGTACAGTGCATGTTCACAAGGGCTGTCTACCTACTACTGCCATGCAATGAAGTACTTCTGGTTTCAGCACAGTTTCTGGGGAAGAAATAATAATTATAGTTTCATCCGTTTTCTCAAAAGAAAAGGGATCCTTTGCTGAATGAGTCCTTCTTCTCGCTGCACGTGCACAATACCTGCACATATACTAATGTTTGTTTTATTCATTTTATCACAATCTCTATCGCTGCACTTGCTGATAACTCACAGTGATAACGTCGTTATCTTTCCTTTTCTATTTCATTCTGGACTCCTCTTTGATTATCTCTTTTCTCTAGCTATTCTCCTGTCTTGTGCCTTCTCGCCATTCTTCACTGATATCGATGTGGGGCTTTGAATAAATCATGGAGTTGCTACAGTGATATAGCTATATTTACAATCGCTCGCTGACTTGTCAGTTTGAGCACTCTGGCAAGGTACGTTCGGGCCTGGCTTTGGGAAATTTACGTTTCATTGCTATCAGGTTTGGCCTCATTTTCTCTGTGCTGTGCTGGGCTAGTCCACAAAGGAAGAAACAGTTCTGTCACTGTGTCAGTATCCCAGTCGATATTTTTATCCATCCCTGCAGCTGTCATGTTCAGTATTGTACTACTGAGAGTGCACTGAGTGCAGTGCTAAAGGCGCTCTTCACAAGCTCCTCGACTCCAACATCCTACGTAATGCTAACTGTTGTTGGTGGGCTAGTATAGTCTTGCTTGCGACTCACCAGGTCCTGTCAGTTCCATCCAATGACTATACTATGTCAGGAGGTATTTTCCCCCCAACACTACCACACTAGATCTGGGTGCTCGGTGCTGAGTGGGTTGTGGCAAAGTGGGGTTGTCGGGCAAACTCCGCCATAGACAAAGAGAGAGACCCAGAGACTGGGACAAGCAGAAGATGTGTGGGGCGAGCTTATCGCTCAAGTGTCACTTGCCAACAACTACAATGTCATCTACATCTTGACTATTTTCGAGACACCATTGACAGTGGCGTACAACTAACTAACTAACACTTCAAAAGCCCACTAGCGCGCTAGGCGGTAGAGTGTCGAGCGTGGCATGGCTACACGTGGTGCGCGAATACCATGAATACTACAAACGCTGCAGGTATGGGCAGACGGTCAGACCTCGGCACTGATAAACAAGAGAGAAGCCGGAGGGGGACTTCCAAAAATGCAACCTCCAGAAAGATAACCAGATAGGGAACACGTGTAGCGCATTGCAACCTCACCTAATCCACTCGGCGAAGATCAGGGACGATCACACAGAAACAATAGATGGATTGGACAGACTACACAGCACACACCTTCGTGACAAGGCCAAAGTGTGACATAACAACAGTTACTCCTGATCGATCTTGCTTTGACTTTCGTGTCAAACAGAAACTGAGTCTAGTCTGTTCAAGGCCAATCCTTGACACTTGCACACACAATGCCACATCCTAGTCTAGTACACGCTACAATGTAGCTACATTCCTTCCTGGCCTGACCCACAAAACGACAAAACGCAGTTCACGGAAAGTGAAGGATTTCCGACATCCGCACATGAGCAGAATGTTCGTCACCGCCAACACTCACCTCGCCTCTGTAGCATTTCCATTGTCAGCGAGTCTACCAAGTCATGCCACACGGTGCCCGAGAACGAACGCTCCAAGCTCGTGATGTTCGGCAACATGAACGAACAGCCGTTGACGGCGGAGCCCGAACGCTCGTCAGAGTCGTCCCCTCGCGAGCGCTCTGGTACGAACACATCATACCGCTGGGTAATGGTTGGATTGTAGGTCGACATGCCGCGGTGGAAAGCTGCTGCTCCTATTGCCGCCTTCTGCTGCGAACGTGTCTGGCCGTTGTTCTTTCGCACAACCACTCCACTCGTCGTACTGCCAGTCACACTAGAGTGCTCTTCTGGTCGCCGTTGCTGTCGTGCTGCCCCGGAACAAGCCATGGCAGTCTAGACTTCCCTGTCACTTTGAGACGCTACTGAATTATTTGTTCTGCAATCATAAATCCCTTTCAGGGGGCGAGAGAGAAAAACTGGAGAACGACAGCTTCGTCCCCCGTCTTCCGTGTTCGGTTCTCCACTAGCGAGTGCGTACACACACCTGCACTTCCTCCGCCGTTCTGCTTCTCTTGCTGCGTAGACTGAACCAGTGAGCACAGCGGAGCGTGGCGCTAAGGCATGGCGGAGGCGGATCACACCTACCCGACATTCAGTCACACAACAGTCAACAGCTAGCACTTACTAGCAGCTCCACATCTGCCCAGTGCAGTGCCGAGAACGGCACACTGAGCGCATCGATGATTGGGTCTACTTCTTGGATTTGGGTGCTGTCAAGGCCAACACGGACGACGTATACGTAGAGTCTACACGTCAGTTTTGGTGTCCCACATAACCATCTCCTGCCCAGTTTTCTGCAGTACCACCGGCACCGCTGTGCCAGTGCGCCCGCTAGGCATACACTGCAGTGCAGGCGAAGTCTTGCACAATCGATACGCCACATCTACACTACAGTCAGTTCTGCTGTTGCGAGGCGGCGGTGCTCTCGGGAGCGGAAATGCTCCGCTGCGCGCATGCCGATTATGATATCTGGCCACGCTAATAGTAATACTAACACTAATACAGTAATAATCCAGACCACACAGTCAGTAGAGCCATGATGGTGCGGTCATGGTATTGTATTAGACATCAGTCAGTGCTACAGTACTCAGTAGGTATCCAAACACATAATCATTACCAGTGTGGGCAGAGCAGAGGCGCAGTACACATGGTACAGGGAAGCACTACAAAAACAAGTACAAGTGCAACTGGAGCAACAGCAAAGGCAACAGCCTTTCACCAAGCTGTTGCCGCTTCTCGACGGACGCACTGCATGCCACTGACTCTGTACTATGTCATGTACTAGTACTAGTAGTAGTAGTACTGGTTGTGCTACACATGTGCACGTGCTGCACGCTGCTGCATCGCCAGTACTGGCAGTAGGCTCTACAGACTACAGTCTACTCTCTATCTCTCTGTCTACATGGTCTATGACAGCGGAAATGCACCCTTCTTGGAATCCGGATTGCAACGGGGATGATGCATTGATCATGTTGATGGGTCCTACTCGCTACCTGCACAGTCCGTTGACGTCTACTGCGCACATGATCATGATGATCGCAACGTCAACCAGGCAGAATCCTTGATTTCTCCCACTTCTTTTTCCATGTTTTCGGTCTCTCAAAAGGCCAAAACTAACTGGTACACCTACACCCTGTACCAAGACTGGCAAGAGTCTCTTGCGTCTTGCCTGTGCTGTAGGTCTACTGATCTTCAATGACATGACATTTACATGACTGATCGTACATGCATGTACATACCTGTACATAACTGTTGCTGATGGCATGTCGACAGTTGTAGTAAAAGTTAGTTTATAGTTGATCATAGGTTGTAGCCTAATGAGTAATGTAGGTGGGGCGACACTTGTTTTGAAGGACAAGTGTCGCCCCACCTACAAGCCTTCATTCAACGCGAGTCATGACACGTACACACGTGTCTCTTGACTCCGCGCAGTAGTGTACATTCATGTACTGTTCATGACCCACCTAACTGGTACTTGTCTCTTGGACCTGGCCCGAGCGTAGGCCTTGGCGGATAATGCCGGCAGAAAAATTGGCAGAATTCGGTACTTTTTCTGGTAAGTTTCATGCATGTTTGGTAATGGTAGGTGGATAAAGAAATGGAGCAGAATTCGAGGAATTTCCCGCCATAAGGTTTGTATGGTTCTGCCAATTTCACTGCTTTTCGAGCATTATCCGCCGGTGTACAGACCTGGGCCTTTCTCTCCTCACTTCCCTATCAGCTAGTGCCAGTAGTGGCTGAAGCGGTAGGTGGTACCGGTACATGACTAAGTCTTGTTGCCAGGGAGTATAACGTGTGTGGTGTAGTGTAGAACGATCACGTGACAGTACCTGTCAGATAGGTATTTTACAACTCCCTGCTCCCCGAGCTCCAGACAGTCGGACACAGTGCTTTGTGGTAAACACGCACCTGGCAATACGGCGGTAAATACACACCGGACAGTCAACAACAGGAAGAAAGGAGATACATGGCTGTAAATACAATCTAATGTCGAGCTAGACTTGGCGCGCCTCAGCCTGGACCAGGTCGACAGGCGCGAGGTCGAAGCGACGGCGGCGAACAGAGCGTGATCCACGGACGGAACGGATGGCAGATCTGGCAAGAGAAAATGCCAAGCAGCACCGCAGCCAAGCTACAACCCGGCCATAAGCAGCGTTGCGTTTGGTGACCAAGCCATGCGCCAGCCTCTTGACTACTACGGCTGCTTTAGAGCCCATCCCACCACAGGAGGAGAAGACTAGTGTGAAGGAGCCACGCTCGACTTCATTGACACGTTCACCGTATACGCACGCTTCTTCTCTCCTTCGAACCTTCGGTAGAGGGAGGGGAGAGACTTGGGCCGATAGCTTGATGCGCGGGGATAAAACACCCTTGTATCAAAGAATGCGTTGCGGCTATCGGTCCAGAATCCCTTCAGGCTTCACCCGCAGGTCGGCACGGGCATCAGGATCAGTGTTGGCTGACCGATAGTGAAAGGTTTCACCAGTTAGGGGCTGCAATGGTGGCTCCACCTCCACATCATGATGGAGCTCCTTCATGCACGACGCGAGGAAGTCGCGGTGGGATCATTGTGTTGCATGTTGATGAATCCCGACAGGCGACAACTTGCAAAATAATGGGCATGGTCAACTCAGAACCTTGTCGAGGCTTGAGGCACAGGGAGTCTTATTTATAACAGGGACAGGATGCTGGCAGGTTGTCAGTGGACAGACTGAAGTAGGCAAGCAGGGAGTAGTATTTTACTACTCCCAGCTTGCCTGCATGCGCGCGCATATGCGCGCATATGCCTGGGTATGCCATATGGGTTATTGCAGCAACAAAAATACAGCTGCAGTGGTGTCTTCAATTTCATTCTCCCGAGTCAAGCTCCGTATGAAGACATCCAAGAAGAAGATTGCCTGATGAGTCCAGCGGGGACGAAACGTACGTCGCAATCGAGCTATGTCGTTGCTGTGTCATCATCTATGTGCCATGCGCTACTTGATGTACCAGCCTGCTATGCCGGATACCGCCAGCCATGCATCGACCAGGCGCCAGGCGCGAACTGATGGTGGTGGTGGTGAGAAGGAGAGCTCTGTGCCAGAACTTTGCAGCCTAGAGAGCGTGTGTGGGCAGGCGTGTGTTTACCGCCATATTGCCAGGTGTGTCTTTACCACCATATTTATCAACAATAAGTACAGCTGCAGTGGTGGCTTCAATTTCATTCTCCCGAGTCAAGCTCCGTATGAAGACATCCAAGAAGAAGATTGCCTGATGAGTCCAGCGGGGACGAAACGTACGTCGCAATCGAGCTATGTCGTTGCTGTGTCATCATCTATGTGCCATGCGCTACTTGATGTACCAGCCTGCTATGCCGGATACCGCCAGCCATGCATCGACCAGGCGCCAGGCGCGAACTGATGGTGGTGGTGGTGAGAAGGAGAGCTCTGTGCCAGAACTTTGCAGCCTAGAGAGCGTGTGTGGGCAGGCGTGTGTTTACCGCCATATTGCCAGGTGTGTCTTTACCACCATATTTATCAACAATAAGTACAGCTGCAGTGGTGTCTTCAATTTCAAAAGAGGCAGCAAAAAAAAATACTTTGCGCCACTGCTGGTACATGTGCATGCATGATCTGATCTACAAAAAAGTAGATCAACACTGCACTGACTGAGTCTGTGCATGCACAGAGAGTGGCATGATCTACGAGTGGAGTGGATTGAGATCGGCGGGGCGCGCGGCTGGATATCAGGGGTCCCACGTGCCGTACCCCACTCTGAGCAGTGAGCAGTGCAGTGAGCACTGTGCATGTGTACAGTATGTAGAGGCGACGGTTTCAAATAGGAAATAGGTTGCAAACCGGAACGGACTCAATATTCACTTTCTCTCTTGGTATTTTGATTAGAAAACATATGTCACAGTGAGACTACGATGTGATATACTCCGAGCCAAAATTTCATGGCTCTGCGATGACCAGAAGCGCCATATCAAGCAGGTGAGTTTTTGACGTGTTGCTTCGCACTGCGACTTGAGTTTTACGACTTTCGAAAAATCAACTTCTTGTCGCAGGTAAACAGCGGCTCGCCTCTCGACAATAAAGCACCGCATACCAATCAAAACTAATGGAAGCACACACAAGGCTTATTGTTACTCTGTACTGGCCGTCGTGGAGCGATAGCAATTACCTAATTTCAGACCCAGAGTGAATTTGACGGGCACTCTAAAACGTGTCCGGTTTGGAGCCACCTCTGATTTGAACTTTTTTGAAGCGAAAAATTGGGCAACTTGGAGGCAATGGGTCAACACAAAGGAGTGGCTCAGTTCGATTGACTCTGGCCCCAGAGCAAACTTCAACATGCCAGTTTCCTTCCACAAACATATTTCGAGTGAAAAATCAACGTTGATGATCGTTTTGGGTCTATACAAATTTGGCTGTCAAAACGTTCCGGTATCGAGCCGTCTCCTCTACTGAGCAGTGCAGTGAGCACTGCAGTGCAGTACAGTCACAATCTCATGTCATGATCTCACGTGGTGGCTAAAAAAAAGATGAGCCGGACAGGGGAAGCCCCTTCTATACACGGAGAGGTTTTGTGTTGAATCGGATGATTTCGAACGGTTGGCCATGCAAACTGTGTAAGACAGATGTATTTATGTAATAAATCTTCAAATCACACGGGTTTAGATGACATTTTTCATTGGAACGCATGCGCACTGCCGTTGAAAATCCCCCAAAAGAAAATGGCGTGCAAAAAGAGTCCTCTTTGACTCCATTCAACAAAACTGGGGAAGAAGCTCCCGCCGTCCTTTGTCCTTTTTCGAACATCAAAATGGGTTTCGGAGACCTCAGCTCTCAGCAAGGCCTTCAGTGCCTGAACGAGTATTTGGCTGACAAGTCCTACATCGATGGGTATGTGCCATCTCAAGCTGATGCTGCCGTTTTCAAGAGTTTGACTTCTGCCCCAGCAGCAGAGCTGATCCACGCTCTGCGCTGGTACAATCAGATCAACTCCTATGAAACCTCGGAGAGGACCACCTTCCCCGGTGAGGCAAGGGAATTGAGCTCATACGGCCCAGCCGGTGCGTCTGCTGCCGCAGCTGCAGCCCCAGCTGACGAGGATGATGATGATATCGACCTGTTTGGTTCTGATGAGGAGGAGGATGAGGAAGCTGAGCGCATCAAGGCCGAGCGTTTGGCTGCCTACGCCGATAGAAAGTCCACGAAGAAGGTCGTCATCGCCAAGTCCAACATCATCTTGGATGTCAAGCCCTGGGATGATGAGACTGACATGAATGAAATCGAACGCCTCGTCCGCACAATCGAACAAGACGGTCTCCTGTGGGGATCATCTAAATTTGTGCCAGTCGGTTATGGCATCAAGAAGCTCGTCATCAGCTGCGTCGTGGAAGACGACAAGGTCGGCATCGACTTCTTGGAGGAGTCCATCACCAGCTTCGAGGACTTCGTCCAGTCCGTGGACGTTGCTGCTTTCAACAAGATCTAAGCAGCTCACAGTCTGCTCAATCCATCGCCAATCCAGTACACGTACGTGCCATGCTGAACAATTTGCTTTTCTGGAGAGAGAAACTATTTGCTGTGCTTCCTACCGCTGCTAGTAATGGCAACTGTGTACTGGAATAGTGTTGCGTCGGTGTGTCTGTCAGAACTCTACCACTAAATTCACCTTGGTCGCACACTAGCTTATTCGAAGCGCGTTCCACCATCGCGCTCATCGGCTTCGGAAGCTTGCCTTCCCAGTTTTGTTTGTTCCCTCTGGTCTTTCTCTATTGGCATGTGTGCTTATTTTCTATTCTTTTTTTTTAATTTACTCGTTTAGATGCCAGAAAGAGCCAGTGGGAAAAAAACTCTTGCTCGGAGTGTGTGTGTAGATGTGTGCACGCTCACATTTGTGTGTGTTTGTGTGTGTGTGTAGGTGTGTCCACGCTCGCATGTGTGTGTGCGTGTCTTGGTAATGTTGAAGCAAAGTCGTCTGCTTCTATCAAAACGACGTGCTGTCTATATAGGGTACGTGAGTCAGTGTAGGGTGTGCATAGGTAACTGTCTCGGTCACCCTTGTCCATGTGGTGTAGACCAAGCGTGTCTGATGGCCGATTCACGCGGCTTGCGGGCTGTGTGAGTTGGCGATCTGGTGTTAGTCGTGATCTACTTCACTCGTATCTGGTCCTCTATCATGGCTGCGGGAGAAAATCATTGGGTGTATTTGCAGATTTGCATGCTTCTTGCGACTGGCGTGCCTGGTATGGGTGTGTGCAAGAGTATATGAAAGCCAGAGTGTGCAGCTCGGATGGCTTGGTGTCACGGCGAAATTCCGTGATTTATACATCATTTTAGTGATGTGGTGCGTACGAGCAGTTCTCTTTCTGCACAACTGCAGCTCAGTTGTACGCTCTACGCCAATTCCCGCCTCAGATCTGCACCAAATATGATGTAATCACGGAATTCCGCCGTGACCGACACCCGTAGTAGAAAAAGCCCCAAGCAGCACACTGGTTTTCATGTCCTCTTGGTTTGTGTTGTGTTGCTAAACCATGGGGTGTTCTCATCCAGTGGATTTGCCTGCTTCTCTTGTGACAAACATCCATGGCACATGGTTGTTTGTGCGCGTGTACTGATATGTCCCGTTGTTTGTGCAAGCCAGTGGTACGTGGTGTTGCATTGGGTGTGCACATTACCATTGCTATACTGCTAGACAGTGCTCTGTGCCTATGTACATTTGTTACATAGAGCTATCGTGTGTGTGTGTGTCTGTCTCTCTCTCTCTATCTCTCTCTACTATCTCTCCCTCCCTCTCTCTCTCTCTCTCCCTCTCTCTCTGTCTCTCTCCCTCCCTCTCTCTCTCTCTCTCTCTCTCTCTCTCTCTCTCTCTCTCTCTCTCTCTCTCTCTCTCTCTCTCTCTCTCTCTCTCTCTCTCTCTCTCTCTCTCTCTCTCTCTCTCTCTCTCTCTCTCTCTCTCTATCTCTCTCTCTCTCTCTCTCTCTCTCTCTCTCTCTCTCTCTCTCTCTCTCTCTCTCTCTCTCTCTCTCTCTCTCTCTCTCTATCCTTCTCTCTCTCTCTCTCTCTCTCTCTCTCTCTCTCTCTCTCTCTCTCTCTCTCTCTCTCTCTCTCTCTCTCTCTCTCTCTCTTCCTCTCTCTCTCTCTCTTCTCTCTCTCTCTCTCTCTCTCTCTCTCTCTCTCTCTCTCTCTCTCTCTCTCTCTCTCTCTCTCTCTCTCTCTCTCTCTCTCTCTCTCTCTCTCTCTCCCTCTCTCTCTTCCTCTCAGCCTGTCTTGCATGTACTGTTGTAGACAATAGACGACTGTGAAAGCACAATGTACTAGTATGCACTAAATCTCTTGATGGCTCTGAAAGTGTACATCAGTCTGAATTGAGTCGATCTGCATTTCACTTCTCCCTGCAGTTGCCCTGCTCCAGTGTTGTTCTGACATGTGAAATTTATGCTGATGTGTGTGTCGTGCGGGAGGTCATCAAAATCGGTTAGAGCCACTGAATGTGTGTGTGTTTTAGTGTGTGTGTGTGTGTGTGTGTGTGTGTGTGTGTGAGTATGTGTGTATCCCGGAAGGGTACTGTAATGCCGTCAGTCCTTTTCTGCACCTTGTCCACCCTGAGTTTGGTGATTTCAGGTGTGTCAGCAGCTGGGCGGCTCAATAGCCAAAAGAGTCATCTTTCCATATTTTTTGAGTCTTTATCCCTCTCCCGAGAGACCCAAGTGGCCAGTTTTAGCAGTGAGCGTGGAGAGAGTCAAGTGTGGTGTGCTTGGAAAAAACACAATGAAAAACAGGGATTCACTGGCCAGAAAAAGCCACTTCAATGGGCTGTGTGGTGGATACCAGGCTAAAATTTGTGGCAGTCACGATTCATCAGCCCTGGCACAAGTTACTATGTCTAACATAGCTGTTCGCTATCATCTCTTCCGCGATGTGCATGTGTGTGTGGGGGGCTTGACTGGACACAATTTTAAAAGCACTGTTCTGTACTACCAAGAGTATGCAACTGTGATCTCTTTTCTATGGGCCAGATGCGCGGTGCGCTGCCTTCATTACATCATTCAGCTGCAGTCCGCGCACTGCGGAAAATCAAACGCTGCCCTTTCCCTCCAGTTTGAAATGAACTTTCATACGGAACTGGAGTTCACGCGCCAGAATTCAGAGATTGTGTAGGTACTGGAACGAATCGAGCAAAAACGGATGGGCTCGTGCGAGAAATTGAGGGTTTGAGTGCATGCTTTCAGAGCGTGATGAAGGCATGTTACGTAATGAAGGCAGCGCGCCGCGCACTGACCCATAACCACAGTTGCATACTCTTGTTTATGCACTCTTGGTTCTACCCACTGGTGTGGGTAGTACCCACACCAGTATCTATATGCCATATGCCAGTTGCAATGAATTCCTCCTGGGACTCTGGGAGGCACAGTACACTCAGGACCATAGCTGCCTTTCTACTGAGTAACTCTGACCCAAACGAACACGGTTTGCTACGCTGCACGGCGCAAATAGCATGCATGCGTGCATACTATCGGTCGACTGGCAATTTTGGGCTCAGTTCTACTTCCACACTCGGCAGACCGTCGAAGGCGATTAGGCCCAGCGCGAGCACCGAAACGAGAGAGCTTGGAAGCTCAGGGCCCTACGCTATGCTTTTTTGCCTTGATGACCTAGACAAAAAAAGCATAGGGATGTTATAAATTCTTTAAAAAATTCCTTTTTTTTAAGACATAACCTGGGATTCGAACCCGCACTATCGCGCCCTGCATGCATCCCCGGTCTTTAAAAAATTCCTTTTTTTTAAGACATAACCTGGGATTCGAACCCGCACTATCGCGCCCTACATGCATTCCCCCATACACTTCGCATTCATACCCATTCTGCCAAGTTGCTTCACGTTAATGATCTTGCATTTGAAAGCCCTATTTGAATATGCATTGTGGCCAGCCGTCTTTGATGGTACGGTACGGTAGGGATAGGTACAGGAGAGGTACGATCGAGGGTAATACGACACCGTCTCCCGTACTGTACCATCAAACACAGTTGGCCACATACAGCTGCCCGCAATATTCAAATAGGGCTTTCAAACGCAAGATCATAACGTGAAGCAACTTGGAAGAATGGGTATGAATGCGAAGTGTATGGGGGAATGCATGCAGGGCGATAGTGCGGGTTCGAATCCCAGGATACAGTATGCCTGAAAAAATAGGAGAATTGAAAAATTTATAACATCCCTATGATTTTTTGCCGTCAGATACGGGATAGCGCCAGGCGTGACACAAACAAACAAACACACAAACAAACACCAAATTAAAGCTGTGTGGACCCTGGCTAGCGCCAGACGTTACTGAAGTAACGTCTTCTGCATAGCTACGGGAATAAATGAGTGTAAAGTGGAGAACAGTAGTCAGTACGAGAATGGACCCATTGCGCAATGACGTAATTTGTACCGTAAACACCCTTTACAGCCACCTGGGCATGGTCGTCTGGGGTGTTGGCTGTTGAGCAGTGCATTCCTGATCCCAGCGTACTCACAAGCATTATTACTCATACATTCCATATTTGGCAATGCGCAATGGGTCAATTGCGCTTGTGCACAATGCATACAGTTGTTTACATTTTTACACCAGGTCTGTACCATACATTGAGCATGCCATATATCCGTGTTCACTCGCAGTAATAGCGGAATAAAATGTAAACATGTTTAGCTTGGCATGAATTTAGCCAAACGTCAGCAGCAAGAAGCGCGGGCTGATCATGCTCAACTTTGACATCCACAAGATCGTCATCGTGAATAGCCGACAACTAAATGCATGATCATGTGCTGTGAACATGCTGATGGAAATCAGTCCCATGCCACCAATGCTGCTGCTGCTGCTGCCGCTACTGCTGCTGCTCCTGTGTATCTAGGTTTCTCATTGCACATATATACTATTATATATTTTCTAATTTGCGCGGCAGTTATTCATTGGTACCTGCCGCTGCTGCTGCTGCTGTTGTCGCCAGGACAACAGGCAGCACATTGCTGTTTTCGTGAGTGCGCTGCCCACGCACACACACACCCCGAACCACCAACGCACGCCACAGAGGCTACGGGGCAGCCGGGGATAGCTGCTCCTCCAGATCGGCGGCGTCCCCGCCATTGGCAGCGTTGTCCAGTTCGGTGAACAGCGCTCCATCTCCACTCGCACCACTACCGCTCTCCCACTCGCAGCCAAAGTCCTTGGCTGGATCGCACCCAGCTGCAGAGTACAGGACAAGGGCAGCATATTCATAGATAATGCATACGTATGCCAACACAATACGAAATCTAGAGATAAGCGCATTGTATCCAAGTCGGATTTAAACCTCACAATCACCACACCTCGAAAATCATGCAGTTCTGTGTAGCAGAAAAGATTTGATGTCCAATATACCATTTACGGTCCTGTGTGTGTGCGTGCGCGCGCGCGTGTGCTCGTGAGTTTTGTGCGTGCGCGCCTGTGAGTGTTTGTGTGTATATGTGCGCGAGTAAGTGCGTGTGCGATAAATTGGATGTGGATGAAGTGCTGCTACAGCCAGCAGATCAAACACTGCGACTGCTTTTTTTATTATTTATTTATTTATTTTTTTTTTTACTATTATTCACAAACCCAACTCGTAACATAAATAATTATGTGGACAAAAACAAACAGCTACTGAGCAGGGGCTGCACAGGGCAGCAGTGATGGTGAGGTACCAGGGCCTCCACCGACCAAAGGTCTCGGCTTCAATGCCACAAGCACGCGCTGGGTAGAGCCGGGCGGGGGAAATGTGCTCAACTGATCATCCACCACCACCACTACCATGTACAAGTACAGAATACACTTTCATGTTTTGAATGTGAAAGTGTATTAAAGCAATGCCCAAATTTAGATACTTGGGTTTAAAACAATTCCAAGCAAACCGATGGGAGTCTGCATGTACTCCATCAGTGGGGGATGGTACTGGCTGCTTCAAGCAGCAAAACTGGATGGAGTTGCTACTCACGTTTCCGTCGCTCGCAGACCTCGCCGATGTAGTTGAACGTACACTGGCATGTGAAGATATGAGCAGTGAGGCACGTGCCGTTGTTACGACAACTCGGCGTGCACGGTGTTTCTGTGAAAATGCAAAAAAGTTCATAAATATTTTGGAAAGAGTAAGGGCCGTATTAACTATGAGAGATGGCCACATTGACATTTCCGGTAGCCGCCGAAGTCCTTTTGGAGTGATGGTTAGGAAAGCTTGCATATTATACTATACTTTTACCACAAAGTATCATTGATGATCCCTCCCCCCACCCCCCCCCCCCCCCCACCCACCCACCCACACCCACATGCACATACATGTACACACACACACACGCACTCCCCCCCCCCCACACACACACACAGGACCCTCCCCCCCCCCCCCCCCCACACACACACGGCCCCACAGCAAGACATACAGCAGATTACATGCATGCTTACGCCGTCTGAAGAAGAGCTCTGCTTCGGCACGATCACCTCGACCGATTCCATTCTCCGCCACGCACGTGTAAAGTCCAGCATCAGAGTATTCCGTTTTCAGGATATGCAAGCTGCTTCCAGTCTGGATAAAGCGCTGCGTCTGGCTGTCAATTGCCGTGCGAGGAACTGGCACGGTAACGTTTATACGCCTTCCTGCAAGACAGGACGGGACGGGAACACAAACAGTTGTTCGGTGGCCTCACCGGGGCCGGGGCTTCTCGTCAACAAGAGATACGAGAACGCTTTGCGCTGCTGTCGTTCGCACCTTTTAGATCTGCGCCATGATGCAGTCATTTACGCTTTGCTTTGTGGGTATATAAACCAGTACTGATCCAGATTTGCTTATTGCTGTTGTCTGATGATCGCTTTAATAGTGTGTGAAACTGAGAGTTAACGAGAGAGCTTGGAAGCTCAGGGCCCTACGCTATGCTTTGTTGCCTAGCTCATCGTGCATGTTGTTAGAACTGATGGAAATGTTTTTTTCCTTTGATTAGCTACATCATTGTATTGCGAAAACGTTTCAATGAGTTACTGAAGTAACGTCTTCTGCATAGCTACGGGACCGGCGCTGACTCTGCCGATCACGGTCGTTCTGGAGTCGACGGGATGTCTGTCCTGACGTTTCCTGGGACCGGCGCTGACTCTGCCGATCACGGGCGTTCTGTAGCCGGCAAGTAACGTCCATTCTAATTGCATTTCCTCCTCGTCTCCCTATTTCTTTCCAGAAAATCTCCCTATACATCAGGGAGTTGTATACATAATACGACGAATATTGTGGCGAGCTGTTTGTGGCCAGCTGTGTTTGATGGTACGGTACGGTACAGGACAGATACGGGATAGCACCAGCAAACATTGCGGCCAGCTGTTTTTGACTAGCTATGTTTGATGGTACGGTACGGTACGGGACAGATACGGGATAGCGCCAGGCGTGACACAAACAAACAAACACCAAATTAAAGCTGTGTGGACTCTGGCTAGCGCCAGCCGTTACTGAAGTAACGTCTTCTGCATAGCTACGGGAATTAGAACACATTTTCCGTCCTCTTATTGTATGGGAGATACGAGAACATGTAAATGAAGAACAAGGGGGAAGTAGGAAGTGGCATATTGCATAGATTGAATGAAAAGTACTGCAGCAGCTAAGCTACAGCACAGGAACTGCAACTTTGAAACAACAAATTCTGGCCGGTGAGAAACTTTGGCCGATCTCGAAAAGAAACTTTCGGCCGTGAGCTAACTTTGGCCGATTGGGGTTCAATCATGCATCTTTTGCCTCTATGACAAACTTTGGCTTGTGATTTTCTTTGGCCGGTTGGCACGAAGCGGCAAAATCAGCGAAATTAAGTCGCCAGCGAAAATTAGTTGATTTACAGTATGCAAAGTGGCTGTACCTCCCCCTCCCCCCCCCTTGTTTTACAGAACTCCAGTTCGGATTTGTCACATCATTAATTCTTGTGAAATAACACAACCACCATCACCACCAGCATCATCAAGAGTACATAACCCCCCCCCCCCCCCCCCCCAGAGTGTGCAACTCCCACATACCCTGCTGTCCTGACAGAATTTCAAGTTGACGTCATTTTATGATGCAATGCTCCTTGCACCAGTGATTTACGACATTTGCACGACGTGTCAATGTATCACACGTTTTTTTTTCCTTCACACTAGTTCGTACAGGACCAAATGGGGTTTGTCCACCACAGGTTCAGAATACTTCTGACAATACATGTACAGCACGCACTGCATCATTAAAAGGACGTCAACTTGAAAATCTGTCGGGACAGCACCCATAGTGGAGTTGCACGCTCTTGGCAGGTTATGCACTCTTGTCATCATACAGGACCGCCGGAAGCAGTTTTCGTTTGGTCCGGTAGTATTGTGGCCTTTCCAACTTTGTGTATCGATATGGTGGATACACTTGCTCTCCACAGTAGGAAACTTGTGTTGGTGGCCAAAAGGTTTGTCCGGCAATAACCTGACCAACCGGACCGGTTCCGGAGGGCCTGCCATACATACATGTAGTTTGATCCAAGTGGAACCAAATTTCAGGATTTCCCTACCGTTTCAGGGTTATGCCGTATCACTTTCAGGCCACGCATGCGGCGGCGTAAGCTTACCATCTTTCATCCAGTAGTAGTCTGGTTGAGGTTTCCCCTGCACTACGCACATGAACATCACATTCTCTCCCGGATAGTCCCGCTCCACGTCGCGTGGTGCCACCGTGATGCGAGGGCTGTCTGCCGTGAGACACACAAACACACACACTCACATGCACACACATATACACACAAACACCCACACACACACACACACACACACAACCGCACACGCACACACACACACAACGGCACCCACGCACACGCACACACACACACACACACACACACACACACACACACACATACAACCGGTCCGTACAGAAAATGACAAGCCAGAGAGTTTCAAAAACAAGACCTGGGAAATGTGTATCAGTGCTGAAAGTCTGCGTCCTGTTTTTACACATTGGGTTTGGTCTTAAAATTTCCAATACCAGCCACTTCTATTGGTTAAATCTGGGTTTCGGCAGCAACATCGTTGTGCGTGAGATGGTGTGTGTGTGTTTCTTTGTGTGTGTGTGTGGGGGGGGTGCATGCGCGCGCGCGTGTGTGCGTGTGCGAGTGAGTGAGAGAGAGAGAGAGAGAGAGAACGCGAGAGGAGACTGGGAGTGACAGAGCCAGCAAGATAGCTAGCCAGACGGACGGATGGACAGACAGCCAGACAGCCAGACAGCCAGCCAGACCGACAAGGGGGGGGGGGGGATCAAATTATACTAACCTCCGACGGATATAAAGATCGACCTGGCCGTAGCACCTGCAGTATTCTGCACAACCAGCGTGTAGAGACCCTCCAGAGAATCAGACATTCCCGACAGGAACAGATTACCCTGCGTTGTCACGGTGCGGCAGTCGTCAGCAGCCAATGACTCACCTGCGGCGGTCACAGTCAACAGCGGAATGGATAAGTTCAAGTGAGTAATCATGACACAAACCTGATAACGAAACGTGGCATTGCAAGCAATGGAAGCTCATCTCATATGCCGTACAAGAGCAGACACACTGCTCTTAAGTGTAGTGATGCTTTATGCACTCACCATATTTAGTATACACAGTACCCGTATGGGGTTACCCACACATCCAGAGTGCATGACCTGGTGACCCTAACCCGGCCAACCTGGTGACCCTAACCGGGCCAACCTGGTGATCCTAACTGGGCCAACCTGGTGATCCTGATGGCCTGGTCACTTTGCCTCTCTGGCATGCATTGATATCTTGCTGTTCATCTTTAGTTTCATGGTTCTTTGTCTAAACGAGACATCCTAGTGGTAATGGACTGAGTGTGCTGGTGACTGGGTAATCACCACACTAACGGTATGCCTGATCATGGGGTGATGGCGTCCCACGGAAGCAGAAAGGTGGTTCTTGACCAGGGAGTTGTACGACTCCTTGTTCTTGACCGGCCCGGTACGCAACCCGTCGGATTTGTTTGTTTTTGTTTTGTTTTTGTTTTTGAGTTTTACTAACTCTACCCGTGTCCAGTTCCTCTAGTGAGTTTCAAGTTTAAAATATAGAACTCAAACTTAGAAATTGCGACTTTGGCGGGGTATTAGTAATGAAGTTGGTTGTTCCTACGTGGAACACATGCTTCCTGCCACACAAGACACTTGACTAGGTCACGACTGCCATCCGGAGCACACGAGAAAATTCAAAGTTACGAAAGGAAAATTGGTATTGACCGGCAAACCATACAAGCAGTGCTACAGTTTTGAATGGTAACCCTGAGCTAGCATACCATTGCACCACTGCTCTGCCGCTCCATAAAAAGAATCTCAAATGCTAACATAATCACAAGCGAGGGTCCTTGGTTCGAGTCCTGGTGGTGACAGTCAATTTTTTCTTCAGACTTTTCCCGTTTGTCTCTTTCCCTCAAACCCAGTTAATGATCACATAACCTCTTAAATAACTCCAGAACTGGTTTGAAACAAGGAGAAGCGCAATCAAATGTCCATCTGCTTCTTACCTCTCCTGGTCCAGAATGTCACACCGGCTGGTGTTGCCTTGCTCAGTAGATGAAGGTCTTCACCGCGGGGCACAACAATCCGTTCCACCGCGGCCGGCGATGATGATGGTGCCGGAAGACGAAACGCCCGCGGACTCTTGTAGTCGTCGATAATGATGTTCACGCTAACCACCTCTACATGGACGGGGTCATGTGCACACACACATGCACACATGCACACACACACACACACACACACACACACACACACACACACACACACACACACACACACACACACACACATACACACACACACATCAGTACACACATGCACCCATGCGCACACACACACACACACACACACACACACGCATACACGCATACACACACACACAAACACACACACACGGGCAGATGCAAACACAGGAATAATGTAGCACTTTCAGATGAAAGTGCTGGTCATGAGTGGGAGGGGGAGGGGAGAGGACAAGACAAAGTTGTTCTGCCAATTGTAGAAGAAATGCTCGGAAACACATCAGTGAATGACTCTAAACCTGCACGAGTATAACGTTGCCAGTACAAATGCATAGATATACAATGTAGGAGAAAGGTAGGAGAAAGACACACGTTGATAATTATAATCTCTCTCCTATTTTTTGCCGGCAGCTTACGTTTAGTGCAGTTCAGTGTCCGCTGATGTATAGTGTGCAGCAGCTTGGTACGCAGTACAGCTGGTCCAGCACACCGTACTGTATCCACTCTGTCTGGCTGCTGGGCAATAAACCCTGTACATGCATACACACACACGCACACACACGCACACACACGCACACACACATACACACACATACACACACACACACACACACACACACACACACATACACACACACACACACATACACAGTGCATCATACATCACATGCACGCATGAGCACATGCACATACACACAAACACAGACACACACACATGCACACACACACACATGCACACACACACACAGACACACACCCACACACACGCACCCACCAACCCACACGCATGTACACATGCACGCACACACGCGTACACACACACGCACGCGCGCGCGCGCGCGCGCACACACACACACACAATACAGTACAACACAATCGAGGATGACTATCAAATACATAACGGTAGTGTCTGTGAAATAGACATGATGGGCTGGTATGAGGACTCCCATAGCGTCCAGAAGATTGGCTGCACTGACTAACACAAGTACTAGTGGGCAATAACGCTATACTCATCGTGCAGTTAAAACTGAATATTTCAGCTTGCACAGCCTGTTTGTGCCTGGAATGAAAGCATGTTGTGGCTAAAATCAGCAAGGTGGATGCCGGCTGCCTGAACGAGTCTTCTACACTTGAAACTATGATGGAGCAACAACGCTTCCGTTTCCATTCTGCATGCACGTAACCAAGAGTACATAACCCCCAAGAGTGTGCAACTGCCTGCACAACCTCTATGCAGTGCTGCGACGGCAGAACTTCACATCACGTGACATGGTTCAAAAGGTTACACTCGCGAACAGTGCAAAGTGACCACAAGAGAGAATTGTACCCAAAGCCGGGTTGCGCACAACCCTGTATCAATCATGCACAGAGTGCAAATAATGTGTACGGGTTCATCACGTGATGTGAAGTTCTGCCGTCGCAGACCCTATAGCTGGAGTTGCACACTCTTGGGGGTTATGTACTCTTGATGTAACTGTTAGACTTCTACGAAAGTTTCAATGTACTAATATAAGTTGGTGGGTCTTCTAAATCAAGAGAAATGCAGTACCTTTGAAATAGAGAGCATTGCAGTCGCAGTTTAGATCGTTACTGATGGCACCGAGCGACGGGGCAGGAGCACTCGTCGTGTAGTCCCAAATCCTGAGCAGAAAAGCAGATTGCCCCCCCCCCCCCCAACACATACACACACACACACACACACACACACACACACACACACACACACACACACACACACACACACACACACAGAGGAATGGATGCATGCACAACACCCACATGCATGCGTGTGTTGTGTATGTGGGTGTGTGCACACAAACGGGCACGCACACGCATGCATGCACGGACATGTACATGCACGCATGCGCACGCACATGTACATACACGCATGCAAACACACACACACATGATATCAGATAGTGTATATTGTTTAGTGGTGTATGGAACTCACCGTCCCAATAAGGAAATGGACAATGCCTGAATGCATGAAAAACTGCTACGTTTTGCTGCCAATCACCCTTTTAAAATAAGTTACGCTATCTCATGCTTGGGACTGGATTTCACAGAGCATGTATGCGGCAATACGGTGGAGCTATGCAACCATGGTTACGCCCTCACAGTTCACGGAGGGCCGTCATTGAATTGAACGTTCCGTCGGCCACATAGCTGATTCGATTCCCGAACAACGACCTGTACAGAAAGTTCAATGTACATGTACACAGAGAAGGAAGTCAGATGGTGAGCTGATCGTACTCATGGATAAGCGTGAGGACAAAATGTCAGTATTGTGCCATGTTGTCACATGTAATATCAGACTGTCTTATGATCTGGTCACATTGGTAGAACTCGTAACATTTTCTCCTTCCGCTTATGCATGAAGAAGTTTAAATATTAGAATTTTTGCCTGAGTATCGCATAGTGTGTGGGTCAAGTAGCAAGCAACAACTTGGTCTACCTTCGGTGTAATTAAGTTGGCACGGGTATGACATCAAATCACCTAGTGCTACGGAGATGTGACTAATGATGGCCATCACAACACTTGCTAATCACACCACTGTACGTACTGTTGGAACAACATCTGTAGGAAGGGAATGAATATCCATGCAGTCTTGCAGCGAGTGGAATCTCTCCCCCCCCCCCCCCCCCCCCCAGTTCTGTACTGTCTCATACAAGCACAACGGTCAAACTTCACATAGACGCGGTCTGCTGTGAGTACAAACCTTGTTGTTATGAGCATGGCGCATTGATACATAAAACCTGGTGTTTCGGTTTTCACAGACAAACTGGAATACAGTACTGTATTCTCTGAAGTATAAGCCGCTGACCCAGATGTTTTGTCACCATAATAATTATACAGACATCTAGCTCCACCCTGTAATTCATGTTCATTCCACCATCGCAGTACAGTATTACCCGCAACGACTTTTTCGGGTGAAAATACTGGTGTTAACAATGCAGCTTATACAAAGGGCCTTTCTACTTTAACAGCATTCAGGAACGCCTTGCTTTAGACCACAATTTTAGTCCATATTTGCTTCTTTCTTCTTTTCCTTTTCTTTTTGACTTCTTACTCTTTTCCTTGTTAGCCGTGGTTAGCTATAAAAACCCTGCAATCGCCACGCAAAGTGGTCATTGGCTACCCCAGCCATGTATTGCGTGGAATAAAAAAATATATAGCATATTTTTATTTTTTATGCAGAGAATACAGTACTCGGTTGGAGTGGAAGAATAGCCTCCACAAGGCTAGCTCAAGAGCACGCCCAGCTTTAAAGGGGCGATACTGCAGTGGACACGGCTCGGCTCGCTTACAATCTAGTGACTTCGGCCATGCATGAGAACATCCTGGGCGTCACCATCTGAAGGTCGTTGGCACCAAGGTACCTAGAGCCAGCAAGAACAAAACACAGCAGAGTGCAGAGAAAACATAGCAGGGAGTCAGGCAACTATAGCAATAGGCATACAATGCCGAAAACACGTACATTAGTGCCAACAACTATACAATTTTAGATTTTCTTCTCCAGTAGATTTTCCACGTTGTTTCTCCTTCCTCATGCAGAAAAAACCGGAGTTAAGCCATCAGCTCAAGGGTACAAAAGTCATCACTCTGTTCACATTTTCCTTTTTCTATTCAGGACCGCCCGAAGCAGTGTTCGACTGGTCCGGCCCCACCATGGCCTGTATACAGCTAGTTTGTGTATGATATAGCCAGTACACATAACCTCCACAGCAGTAAACATGCCGTGTTGTTGACCAACATGTTGATCCAGTGATGACCTGACCAACCGGACTGGTTCCAGCACTCCTGATATTCCACGGTTAGGTGGTAGTATTAAACACACACCACGCATGACAATCCAGTCTCGTCCCATATTGGGCAGTTTAAGTGGTGGAAGGTTGGCAGCAAAATCCTTATACGGTCGAAATTTGGCATGTACATGCATATTGGGTAGCCCCCTCTACTTCAGTGCACATTAACTACAGTGCTAGCAACTGAAATCCGACCCCCTGAGCGGCGGTGCGCTCACATCGCAAACACCCACCATGGTGTAACACTACGAAGTTAAGGCCGCTGGAAAGTGAACACACCGCTCAGGGGGTCGGATTTCAGTTGTTATCGGTTTAGCAACATAGAAGCAATAGTAGGCAAGCGCGGTGTGCTGCATGGTTCACTATGATGTAATGATGTACAGCTACATGTGCCTTTCAGAATTTGTACCAAGCATAAAGGTGTTTCCAGTGTTCCTACTTTGAAGTACAGTAAAACCTGTGAATGCGACCACTCGGATAGGGCGACCACCTGTCCTGGAAGACCACTGAAACCAGGACCAAGGGATGCTTTTTCCAGTCAAAATGACCCTGGATAAGGAGACCACCTGGTAAAAGAGACCACGTTTTCAAGGTCCCTTGAGCGGTCGCGTTTAGACAGGTTTGACTGTAACTTAGTAGCAAGGCAAGGCCTGTTGAGAGCTCCCTGGTAGAATAGCAAAATCTACTACCACTATGGTGGACAGCTCCAGAGGTTTGGAAGCACGGATGTCTTTCCGTGTTCTTTGATCCCTGAGGGTGGTAGCGCTCCTGCGCCTGCGGAAAGCTCACGTGTCTGAGTGTTACGCGAGCCGTGGATGTATTTCCGTGTTCACAGACGACTTACAGGCGTGCAAGGTAGGGCAGACAGCAGAACGCACCGTCAGCTATGCATCCAATCTGGTTGAACTGCAGAACTCTTTACACAAGCACATAGAGAGAGAGAGAGGGAGAGAGAGAGAGAGAGAGAGAGAGAGAGAGAGAGAGAGAGAGAGAGAGAGAGAGAGAGAGAGAGGCACGGAGAGGCAGAGAAGACAGTAGGCTGAAAAAAGCAGCGAAGCATACAACCTACGTCATACGATAATATATGAGAGTGTTATACTCGAAACAGCTGTATGAAGAAGGAATTCAGCACCGAGATGTGTTGCTTTGCTGATGGTGTGCTGTGGCAAGGTGTCGAGGTCAGCTGGATTAACTGGTTGCATGCTACTGACACCGACACTGGAGGTGATGTGCAGTCTAGGTACAGGTATAGACTTACAGAATCCTTAGACTGTCTAGGCCTTCAAACTGACAGTTGGACAGGGTCTTGATGCGATTGTTCTGCAGGAATCTGGAGACAGTGGAAGGACAGGAATACGAGTCAGCTGCAAACGACTACTGTAGGACATGTTACTATAACGAGTCGCAAATTTAACGATTGTCCAAAATTCAAAGGTTAACGAGAAGATATGTTAACGATCTTGCAGTATTCTGCCACATCCACACACAGCATATGAAGCAGTACGGCCTCAACGGATCTTATTATAACGGAGAAATGTCATACGTTGAAACGTTAGATTTACTTCCTCGTTATATATACATGTCTTACAGTACAGTAAGACTTCAGTATAAGAAACCTCTAACTTCTGTTCGGTTTTCACTAACCATGCAGTCTGAGTCTGTCCCAAGACCATAATCCAACCATGAAGCTCTCAATTCATACCACGCATGACCTGATTATGGTGTAACTTGTATTTGTATTTCGGATTTATGCATTCTCCACAGGCCTTAGACTAAATCGAGGGAGTCTCCGCTTCTTTTCATTAGTCTTGTAAAAGCTTTTCAAGAAGACTCGCCTTACAGTTGATGCAAGCTCTTTAGGTCCGTGAAGGCGTCCTGCGGAATGTTCTCAATACGATTACGGTCCAACCACCTATTACACCGGCAAGTACACACACAAAAAAACAGACAAGAGTACATGAGTCTACACACGCGTGCACACACACACGTGTACACACACGTGCACACAAACACACACACACGTGCACACACACACACACACACACACACACACACACACGTGTTCGTAATTGGGCGTGTGAATTCGTCAGGGTGTATCTCGCTGAGAAATGGTGTGTGTGTGTGTGTGTGTGTGTTGTTACGGAATCACAGCCATTCCGTTCCCCGGGACGCAGGACACAAAGGACAAGACTAGTATGGTTTACATAATTATTATTGACATTACGGAAATGGAGACAACACTCAAAGGGACGAACAAGAAGACTGACAAAAGGACTCTCGACTACAACATCGCGCATGCTCATATCACACATGCACGCGACTAGACGAGACAGTTTGGGGAATGCCATCACACGGAAAAACAACACATCATTTCACAACACCTGCCCCCTTGATGACATTCCACAAAATAATAAACCGACACCACGTAACGTTCCACATGCACAACAGCAAAAGGAACCACAGCAGAACAGAAAAACGAAAACCAACCATCAACCTAGAGCCGACGCTCTACGACCAGGCCACGCCACACAAGGCCAACCGAAACACGGGGGCCCGAAGCTCCAACAAAATAATAACATGCGCACAGCCGCACCAAATAAATCTACAACAAAAACAATGGAGAACAACAGAACGAATAGAAGAGCAACAGACCGACAACAACCAAACTGAAACAACACAGCAACAAGCAACGAACTGAACAGAGAGAGAACAACACAGCGAGCTAGACAACAAGACGAACAACAAGGACGACACACAGTCGGTGACGCCAGACTCGTCCACTGGCCTCTGGCGAGCCACGGCCACACGCTCCATGCGGTACCTGCCGTCCCAGGCTCCAGTCCCCAGCTTCTGCCGGTCCACCACCTTCTCTGCCTCCTCTCCGCGTCTTCTTCCGCTTCCACCAGCTCCTCGTCTCTCCTCCATCCCCACGCTTACTCTCTAGTTGTACTATTACTTGTATTAGTTGTTGACGACGACGAACAGACTCATGACAAACTTACTCATCCTCTGCGTCCCGGGTTTCGGCACCACGTTGTTACGGAATCACAGCCATTCCGTTCCCCGGGACGCAGGACACAAAGGACAAGACTAGTATGGTTTACATAATTATTATTGACATTACGGAAATGGAGACAACACTCAAAGGGACGAACAAGAAGACTGACAAAAGGACTCTCGACTACAACATCGCGCATGCTCATATCACACATGCACGCGACTAGACGAGACAGTTTGGGGAATGCCATCACACGGAAAAACAACACATCATTTCACAACAGTGTGTATGTGTATGTGTGTGTGTGTGTGTGTGTGTGTGTGTGTGTGTGTGTGTGTGTGTGTGTGTGTGTGTGTGTGTGTGTGTGTGTGCATGCATGTGCGTGTCCGTGCACGCGTGCGTTTGTGCGTGGTTATCTGCATGTGTGGGTGTTCTGAATCAATGCAGCCAGTACAATGATGCACTCAGGATTGACTCACAAAACTTCCAGCCTTGTCGGTCCCCTGAGCATACCACGCGAAAACTCCGTCAGAGCATTTCCCTGTAGAAACCTGACACACAGACAACACAGAACATACAAACAAACAAGACCATTGCTATAGCAAACAGCCCAGATTGGCCATAGCTGCACCTTGATCTAGAATAGTCAACCCACCCCACTCGTGCAAACCCCGGTGGCCATTTTAGTGCCATCACGCACATGTACTGTCGTGTCGTGTATATCGCCTGCGGGGTTATTCCCGTAGAAGCCACTGTCAGTGTTCGGGTTCTATTCAAAAATCTGGCTTGTATTCAAACCTGGTATTTCGTGTATGTCAACAATCAAAGCCAGGCTTATGTGCCGAGTATCCACTATAATGCAGCTCGTATTCAAAGCAGGCTTTTACCAATGGCAAGCTGAAGACTCAGCCACTATCCGGCACGTGCACCCACCACATGAGCCAACTGGCAGCCCACATGTACACACACACACACACACACACACACACACACACACACACACACACACACACACACACACACATACAAACACACACACGCACGCATAGGTATTTCTTACAGCCGCTTGAGGTTTATCATGCGGAAGAATGTGCCCCCGTCAATATGTGAGATGCTGTTGAACTGCAGGTACCTAGTCAGAAAGAGAAATTCAAACAGAACAGCTTCTTCAAGTATGTGCATAGATAAAGCAAAGTGAAATGGAAAATTCTACATTGCGAACAAGGATGTTTCTTAAAAACAATTGGGAAATTAGTTCAAATTACACACACAGCACGTCAGTAGTCTTTGCGCAAACTGCACTACATAAAGCCATAAACCTGGTTTAAGCGACCACCCCACGGTGCAAGCAAAAGCAATCGTTAAAGCCAGGTGGTCTTTAGAACCAGGTCCCATACATCCGTGGTGTATCGGATCGTGTACATACATGTGCATGATCGTACTTCCATGTACTCATATTGACAGGTGTGGAGCATAGAATACTCTGGTGCAGGCAAAGCACACCTCACTCAAGTGCATGCAGCGCATCCTGCACTGTCACTTGTCGCTTCTGTTGACTGCACGCACTTGCTTCAGAGCGCAATTCAACCCTGTTGCAGTCAACCGTGACAGCCAAGATGGCACTTTTGGTTAGTATTGGTCACTGTGTGCAGGTCCAATATGGCACTTGGTACACTAAAAGTCGGTCGCTGGTCACGCAAAGCAGGTGGTCGTTGTATCCGGTGCAGTTTCTGTGTAGAACTGTCCGTGCAAGGAAAAACGGTGGTTAAAAGCAGGTGGTCGCTAGAACCCGGCCAGAGGTCGCGTACATCAGATTTTACTGTATATGGAACATTCAGGTTTTCTCTCTGTGCTGCACTGATGAGTCCACAAAGGACGGAATAGCTCTGTCTGCAGATTGAGTATTTCGCTCCTGCTCTTGTAGTAGTTGAGCACTCTTGCGTGGGGTAGTGCCATTGCTGTTTGCGTTATGCAGAGCTCACTGACTTGTCAGTTAGAGCCCTCTGGCAAGGTACATTCAGGCCTGGTTTAAATCTGGCTTTGGAAAATTTATTAATTTTTTCCTTGCTATCAGGTTCGGCCTCATTTTCTCTGTGCTGCGCTGATGAGTCCACAAGGACGAAACAGTTCCGTCTGCAGATTGAGTATAGACAACATTATGTGACCGCTTTAATGCGCTTCGAACAAATCATATCCCCAATTCATTTCGCCAAGTACTTATTCATTCATCTTGGGCACCCTGTAAGAAGACCTTTTAGGGTCTGTTGGGAATGCCCAAGTAAAATAATAAAATACAATACAATACAAAAAATGTAAAGAGGTTAGAAAGAGCATGTAGTGGCACTTACAGTTCCTGAACTTGGAGAAGATCTAGAAAGTTCATGTTGGTTATACGCGTCAAGCGGTTGTTGTTGAGCCTCCTGCATTGCACATACAGTCAACAGAGGTTATGCGATTACATCATCAGAGGTTATGCGATGACATCATCAGTTCAGGTGCTTTAGCAAAGTCGCAGCGCACCGATGCTCTAGCTCTAAGAAAAGCACGGAACCCGCGAACTCCCGCTGTATAACACCACCCGACTGCAGGGACAAAATAATGGCCCGCTAACTTTTTCATACTTGCAGCGTGATGTTTATGTCTCTCAATTCTTTGCCCATATAATTTCTGCCTTGGTCATTTTTCTTTTTTCCCTGTAAGAGGCCATGAAGAGAAGGGAACGAAACGTTCGGTTCTAAAATTTCCTAGTGCTCATTTGGACTGGTGTGGATCGCACAGATGCATGTACTGCATTCAAGAATAGGGCTAAATCGCTTCTCAATATGCACAGACTCCACTGTAGCCATCCAGTATAACCAATTAACCATACATTCTCTCACAACATCCACCAAGCAATCTCTAGATCTGGGCTACATTAATCATTGAGAGAAGATTATAGTCATCCATTATAACAATACATCTTCACACCACCCTCTAAACGGTCTCTCCAACACCATCCAAACGGTCTCTCCAACACCATCCAAGCAATCTCTGAACTACACCAATCACTGAAAAAAAGAACAAAATCATCCAAATTCCGGGCAAGGCCCATCTTCAGGAGGGCTAAATTGGGCAACAGAATGGATTTCGAATCGGCATGCGACTATTATGGCTGAGTGGAGTATGCAGTGCTTACAGACTTACAGTATTCTCAGCTGTGTCAGATTGAAAAATGCTTCCTCGTCGAGCGTTTCAATCTGGCAGTTCTCCAGCTGTAGTATGCGCAGCGACTCCAGTCCGCGGAACACACCCGTCTCCAGTGTGGTCAGCGGGTTGCCAGACAGGCCGCTGTGCATTGAACAAAAAAAGCAAGCATGGCAATAGAGAGACATGCTTGAACGCACATGTACATGTACGCTGCGCACATGTACATGTACGCATCGATCCAAATTTGAATTTTTCAAATGCAACCCCACTAACTTCTCCATATAGCTATTTGATAGGCCAGCTACTAAGGGGTCTACTAAGGGGTCTCTGTAAAATCAGGCATCTGAGATGTACGAGATCGGCTCTGCAATCATTCTTAGTCATGATGCGTACACCAGTCGAGTCACAAGCATGCACTGTGCTGCACTGTCTTTTAAAAGAGTTAATTCCCATGCCGACATATTGCGAGGTAAGGGAATGGCAAAGCCAAGGAATTGCAGGCGCAATGGGATCACAAGGAGAGGAGACTGTGCAGGCGGGATTGCAAAGAAAGGGGAATCCAAATGAGGCATGTGAAAGGCAGGGGATTACTTCATATACAAAGGCCAGGGGTTGGAGAGGCAGGGGTTCATGTAGGGAAAAGGGTCTTATAGCCTAGGGGGAAAACATAGGGAGTGAATTAAAAAGGCAAAAGGGGTTATAATGGGAAGGAGATAGTGAGAGTGCCCTAGGGGAACCATAAAGGGACAGGCAGGGTCATAGGGGTTCGGCCATGCAGGCGGGTGGTCAAAAGACCGGCCAGGTCGTTTCGAAGCAGGATAGGTCATTCGGGTTGCAGCCATTTCACGTGCAAGCGCGTGCACACACACACACACACACACACATACACACACGCACATGCACACACACACACACCATTGGACCATTGGACGCCCATCGCCGGAGGCGATGATAGCGATGCTACAGCAGAAGCCATAGCAGCTTGTGCTGGGATTGCACCATTCAACAGCTTCCAAGGCTGAAGAATTGACCGCCACTATTCAGCCTGGTCTATACCACACAGCTATGAAGTGGCTTTTTCTGGCCAGTGAATCCCTACTTTTTGGTCTTTTTCATATATATTTTTTCCGCACACACATCACACCACATAATCCGGCATGCACTGGCTGTTGGTAACCACCCAGGAGAATGAAAGAAAAGTCAGAAGGAGTCTGAGAAAGAGAAGAAAGATGTGTGTGACCATAATCGTCGGGAATCGAACCCGCAACCTCTCGATTGGAAATCGCTGCACATACCACTGCACCATATGGAACACACACACACACGAGCACACACACAAACACACACGCACGCACGCACGCACACGCACACACACACACACACACACACACACACGAGCACACACACACACACACACACACACACACACACACACACACACTTGTGCACAGGTGTCCTTCTAGAAAACCAATATCCTGGCAATAAAGGTATGTGTGTGTGTGTCTGCGTGTGTGCAACCAGGAGAGGGGGAGGAGAGGGGGGGGGGAGGGGGAGGGAAGGGAGTATACCACATACAATGTACCACATAACCATACAATGTACAGTGCTGGCAACTGAATTCACATTCTATCGGTCTCTATTTCGTAGTTCTACTATCCCGAGTTGGGTCTCTGCGATGTGAGCTGAGCTCAGGGCCCAGGGCTCAGGGCTCAGAGCTCAGGGCTCAGAGCTCAGGGGTTGGATTTCAGTTGTCAGCACAGTGTACTTGAGGTAGTTCTATACTCACAGTGTTGTTAGGTGCTGGAGGGAAGCAAATGTACCCGGTCGAAGGTACTCAATGTTGTTCAAATTCAACCGTCTACAAATCAGACAGTCAGCCATCAGAGCACACAAACAGCAGCCACAGAAGAACAGGTACAGTGTAAATATACAAAATTTGAATTTCGGCAGCTATTTAATTCCGGCGATATTCGGCACCGACCCAAAACGCCGAAATTAAAACGCTGATGAATTTTCACGTCGGCTTAAGCGATGTGCTAGTAATAACCTCGCACCGAAAATAGATTGCAGCTGAAAAGTCGAAAATCGTGAAATCGTGAACTTTTGCAGCCCCGAAATGTAAATGTACAGTATTTTAACACCTGCTGTGATGCTGCCCGGCCTCGGGCACAGGGCAATGATGCTGTCCTGCCTCGGATACACGGCCATGATGCTGTCCGGCCTCGGACACTAAGAAATGATTAACGAAGCCTCTCGTAGTTCATGAACATGCATCGACCGGTGAAACTCGGATTACGAAAATCAAAGAAATTGACAACCAGAGAATAGTGGTTTTTGGGTGATTTGGGCACGTCCTGCTAACAGCAGGTTAGCATCATAGTTACGTGAATACTAAATTCACAAGTCAAACTTAAACATGTGCACCCATACATACCCTATAAACACACGCATACACGCACGCACACACACACACACACACACACACACACACACACACACACACACACACACACACACACACACACACACACACACACACACACACACACTACTACTACTACTACTACTACTACTACTACTACTACTACTACTACTACTACTACTACTACTACTACTACTACTACTACTACTACTACTACTACTACTACTACTACTACTACTACTACTACTACTACTACTACTACTACTACTACTACTACTACTACTACTACTACTACTACTACTACTACTACTACTACTACTACTACTACTACTACTACTACTACTACTACTACTACTACTACTACTACTACTTGACACAATCTTTATTAGGAAACTTGAAATGGAGATGTGAAACACAAATACAGCCATGTAGATGGAGCAGCATTGCAATACAATGTCCAAAAACTCAAGAATTCATTATCATGGGGCAATGTTGGGCAAATGTCTGTCAGGTACTATCACGCTCAGGCTGCCCGCAACCTGCACATCGTCGTGAAATTCATCCTGTTGCGGCGATATGACGATCTTGAACCCCGCAAACAGGTGACTGCCCATCGCATAAGGCAGACTGACAGCTTACAACGGAGCTGACCCATGATAACCGATACGTGTAGGTCGACGTTCTTCTCAGCAATCAGGCATGCCAGTGTCTTCAGTGCCATTGAGCATTCTCTGCCAATCATGCCCGAGGTAGAAAAAACTAGCGGTGTAAACGTACCTCTGTCAACTGCTGTCACCCGCTCTCCGTACTGGCGCTTCTTCATCCGTTCATGCGTTCGGAGCTGGCTGATGACTTCCTGACGCGACAGCAAGCTTGCCTTTGGGTGTGTAACCCGGATGTCGAAAAAGGCATCTTGCTGTCTCGTCCAGAAGCCACAAGCCCGGATGTCCAGGCGGGCACCTGCCGAGCGGTTGGCTGTCCTCCCTTGGAGCCGCTCACCATCATATGGTAGTAGAGGCGGTTCCACCTCCACATCCCGGACCGCCTCACGCATCACGTCAGCCAACAAGTCCCGGATCTCATTGTGGCGTGCCATGGGGTAGCCCCCTGCCGGACACATCATCGCATGGTCTATTGTGTTTGCAGCACCACATACACAAGTCAGGGGGAGTCCGTCAGGCTGCAGGCCGTAGCGGATGCAGAACGCATCTCGGAAATCCGATTTGTTCAGCACCATCTGCATTTGGGACGATGGTTCCGCCGTTACCCAAGATGATACGCCCTTTTCCGCGGCATTCTCCACCAACAGCGCCTGTGTTGCTGTCAAATCCGGGCGCAATTCGCTAACGAGACCCGTGGCTTGGGCAGCTTTCTCTCTGCGAATACGCCCGGCCTCCTGCCGGCTGAGGGCTATTGCCTCGTTCAGCTGGTCTGTTTGAGTAGTTTCGTTGGTGCTTGTTGGATGTTCTGGTGGTCTTATGCAGGCCGCCACAGGAGCCACAATCTGTCTGGATGCAGAAAACTCTTTCCCGGCCTCCACCGAGGGCACAGGGATTGCCATGCCACCAAACCGCGCTGGTAGCGATAGCAACTTTCTCAGTGCCGACTCGTCCGAACACGAATGGCCGCTGAGCGCTGGCAGCAGCTTGTCCGTAATGGCGGCGTCGAGACGGGCCAGAAGATGCGCAGGGCAAGATAGGACGCGCAAGTGGTACCGCCACTTGGACACGAGGCCCTTTACAAACACCTCGTACGCAGCATGTGGCTGAGTGGTGGCCACCTCCGCCAGGCGATCAACCTGCAGCGTCCACTTGTCGATCAAATCTGTGATATACTCCTCACAGAAGACCGTTGTACCGAGTGCGCCGCCAAGATAACGAGCACCCTCGGTCACAACACGAATGCCCGTGTCCCTGAAAAGCTGGAGTGCCAGGGCCGAATGCTGCTCCTTGACAATTAGTGTTGTCTTGTTCGCGTTAGGGTAGTACCCATACCCAGGGCCATGCTCCAGAATCCCATCCCAGTACTGCCTTAGATTGAGGAGCTGTCCGCCACCAGCATCGTCATCAGCATACCATAGCTGCACCACGTCGGGGCAGCACTCTGACAGCTTGTCTATCAATGGCATCATGGCGACCGCGTATATCGCCATGGCGAGAGGATCACCTTGGCAGGTACCCTCCTGACTCCTTATCTCTCCACCACCCGACACAAACAGGCGGCATGGACTGCTGTAGGTGTTCTTGAACACCTGCCCCAGGGCAGGGCAGACGAGTGGCACGTTGTGTAGGGCTGCTGTGCGGTTCATAGCGTTGAAAGCGTTGGTGGCATCGACCAAGAGCACACCCTCCACCTCCGGCGAGACAAGCATGTCGGTCATCGTATGCACGGCAGCTTCACACCCAGACGGAACACCAACACAGAGTTGACGAGGGGCTGTGGCGTGCATGGCGTCATACTGAATTATCTTCATCACAGCTTTGCCTATTAGTCTCCGGAAAACTACTACTACTACTACTACTACTACTACTACTACTACTACTACTACTACTACTACTACTACTACTACTACTACTACTACTACTACTACTACTACTACTACTACTACTACTACTACTACTACTACTACTACTACTACTACTACTACTACTACTACTACTACTACTACTACTACTACTACTACTACTACTACTACTACTACTACTACTACTACTACTACTACTACTACTACTACTACTACTACTACTACTACTACTACTACTACTACTACTACTACTACTACTACTACTACTACTACTACTACTACTACTACTACTACTACTACTACTACTACTACTACTACTACTACTACTACTACTACTACTACTACTACTACTACTACTACTACTACTACTACTACTACTACTACTACTACTACTACTACTACTACTACTACTACTACTACTACTACTACTACTACTACTACTACTACTACTACTACTACTACTACTACTACTACTACTACTACTACTACTACTACTACTACTACTACTACTACTACTACTACTACTACTACTACTACTACTACTACTACTACTACTACTACTACTACTACTACTACTACTACTACTACTACTACTACTACTACTACTACTACTACTACTACTACTACTACTACTACTACTACTACTACTACTACTACTACTACTACTACTACTACTACTACTACTACTACTACTACTACTACTACTACTACTACTACTACTACTACTACTACTACTACTACTACTACTACTACTACTACTACTACTACTACTACTACTACTACTACTACTACTACTACTACTACTACTACTACTACTACTACTACTACTACTACTACTACTACTACTACTACTACTACTACTACTACTACTACTACTACTACTACTACTACTACTACTACTACTACTACTACTACTACTACTACTACTACTACTACTACTACTACTACTACTACTACTACTACTACTACTACTACTACTACTACTACTACTACTACTACTACTACTACTACTACTACTACTACTACTACTACTACTACTACTACTACTACTACTACTACTACTACTACTACTACTACTACTACTACTACTACTACTACTACTACTACTACTACTACTACTACTACTACTACTACTACTACTACTACTACTACTACTACTACTACTACTACTACTACTACTACTACTACTACTACTACTACTACTACTACTACTACTACTACTACTACTACTACTACTACTACTACTACTACTACTACTACTACTACTACTACTACTACTACTACTACTACTACTACTACTACTACTACTACTACTACTACTACTACTACTACTACTACTACTACTACTACTACTACTACTACTACTACTACTACTACTACTACTACTACTACTACTACTACTACTACTACTACTACTACTACTACTACTACTACTACTACTACTACTACTACTACTACTACTACTACTACTACTACTACTACTACTACTACTACTACTACTACTACTACTACTACTACTACTACTACTACTACTACTACTACTACTACTACT